TCCTCTGATATTCCACGTATTAATAATAAATTCTAGTGTTAATTTTGCACACACAAACATTAATTCAATAAAAACAAATTCACAAACATCAATTACAATATATATGAACAGTAAATAAGTGTTGCTTTCGTATTCTTACGTAAAGTAATGACGATATCTTTTCGCATGCCCACTTACGCGCGCGATCTCTTTTTTTTCTTTACCGTTATCGTTAGCTACTTCTATTGTTCCATTTATTAACATTACTTAAAACAACCATAGTCATTTGACTACAGCTACAGCCAAGGTCTTATTTTCTTCTCTTTTATATGTAGAACCAGTCAGTCACCGGTTTTGTAATCGACGAAAACAATGCCGTGTGTTTTAATATTCTACGTATTATTAATGAATTGTATTGCTCATTTTGCACACAAACAGTAATTCAATAAAAAAGACATTCAATAATGAATCTTTTCTACACGAGAGAAATGACGCTCTTTACGCGATTGTGCCAGTCGTCTGCACGTTGGCGGGCCGTTCAAACCCGTCGAAATTCCACTTTCCGCCGTCAAAATTTCTATTTATTTATTTTTGGCTCTGTTCCAATAAAATACGTTAAGAATTAAAAACTCTCAAAATTTCACGAGCTACTATACGACATTTAACCCTTCAATATGTCTTCAAAGAGGCCGTGATGCAGAGAAAGTGGTGCTAGTGCTTCCAAGCATAAGCACAAGTCACTATCTATCCAGGAAAAGGGTCAATTTCCATGGTCCGGTCCCGAGGTTGCCCGACTAGAGGTACGACATTTCGGTCCACAAACATGAAAAATATACAAAATATCTCACTTATTCAAAGTCCACATACATGCAACACATTTTCCAAATCCACAAACCAAAATAATTTCAAACTGCACAAATGACTATACTATAATCAAACAACAACAACAACAACAAGTCAAAACATTTTTCAAACTACAAATAACTTCAATCAATTACAAACAAACATATACAAGTCTACAAATATTCGAAGACGACCGATCCGCGGACGATTGACTTTCGTCGACGACGCCACATTTTTTACGACTCCGCGAACGAATCTACGACGACAAAAAATAACTCCGCGACTCCGGCCGTTCCGGTCGATTCCGACGACGCCAAACTCCCGACAAAATATTCCCGGTGCGCAATTGACACCCTTCAAATTAAAACCAATAACTATTCCACAATCAACAATTTCACAAGTCCACAACATTAACTTACACTCTTCAACTATTTCCCGATATATAACTGCCCAAACCCGACGCGACCGCGTATTCAAACTACAGACGGTACGTGCATTCTCGTCCTCGATGACAGTTACTTTCCAAATCTAAATAGAACTCCTCCTCTTCTTAACAACAACATTTAGTCAAATATCAACACAATATATCTAATTCACACTCACAACATATATATAACAACAAATAAATACAATCCAACATACACACAGCAACAGTAATACAACCACAAATTCAATTGGTAACAACAAACATATACAGGAACACAAAAACAACCAACAAATGGGAGTAACAACAGGATCAAGAGCAATGGGAGGGTGACAAACAACAAGGGAATCACAATCAAACAGAGGAGGAGAAGGAACAGACGCAGAACAAGCCAAAGAATAAACGAGGAAGACATATGGCGAAGAGGAGGAGTAAAAGAAGGAAACAGGAAGAAGAAGAGGACGGACAGAAGCAGGTAGGGGGGAGAAAAACGAAGGGAGTTGCAATGAAACGGAGGGAAAAGAAGCCGCACGACAAACACGTCAAAAAAGGAGGAGGAGGACGGGGAGGCAGAGGGAAAAGACAAAAAAGGGAGGGCTTACAAATTAAACATTGTGCTCGTATTCCTTCCCCTACTCGTCCAACAAATTTTATTATTATACAAACGCCTTCACAATAAACACCTTAACACGAGTGGAGCAACACGGAGTACGGGTGAACGAGTATAAATTCATCCCACAAATATATTACTGCTGCATTACGTATTTCCTTACCGGTAGATGTCGCGGTCTCAAAATAGGTACCCACGCGCACTCCACGACTGCCCGCTCTCAAACGCACTGCCACAATTACGTAAAACTAATACACCTGTCGAACCTTCCCGCCATTTCAAACACGCGACTCTTAGTTAAATCTACTTCCAAATCATTCTTTACGCATCTCGCGGGTATACTTTCGTTTGTGCGCCGCCTCGTCTCCGTCCGTTCTCCGTCGGTCCTCTTTCCCGTCCCGTAAACGGACCCCGATCGACCGTCGTCCGTATCCGCACGCGCCCGCACCCGCCGCTTTACGTACGACCCTTTCCTAAACCGCCATTTACTAAATTCGTCGTCGTCCGTCCCACGTCGAAAGGTTATTGCGATCGTCGCTTCCGCCAATTCCTCTACCGCGCGACTTCTTTACAATCCCCGTCGCATCCGTTTCTCACAATTACGCCGACTCGGCACTGACGAGTCAATTCCTTTAATACCCTACAAAATATATCATTCGTTGTCCCCCCCCACCACCATCCTTATCACCTTTTACTTTATATCTTCACTAATATATAACTACTCTCTCTGTCCTAAAAAACCCACCAAATAGTCATCATTTCTCCATTCTTATCGGTTACCACAACAACACCATCTATGTCGGTCCGATCTCCCCCGTTCTTTTACTTTCAAAAGGCGCACTTCCCCGCCGCCGCCGCCGCGTTCTCTCGTATTTATGCTGCCGTTATTTACGGATGCGTCCCGCCACAAATGACGTGCGCGCCGCATTCCGTGACGTTCTACGATCGTAATCATCTCCCCAAATTAGTGCAAACACCTAGTGATCACAGGCAACATCTTCAATAAATTCATTCTCGACATGTATCGACTTCCTCCGTCTTCGCAGAGTCGGTCTCTAAAAACAATACTACAAACAACACGTACATTCATTTTACACGTTAAATCGTCTTTAAAACAATCGCGCCGGCCCGACATTGATGCGTGTCTCCTTCTGCGTTGACGAGTGTCTTCCCGCACTCGGGAGTGTGGCGTTCTTCCCGTGTTCCGGAGCATCTTCCTCGCGCGTCGACCGGTGTCTTCGTCCGCAGTCGACGAGCGTCTTCGTCCTCGGTTCCCGAATGTCTTCGTCCGGACCGCTCTCGTGCGCCGACTGTACGAGCCGTCTCCGACTCGTATCGGCGCGCTCCTCCGCAACTGAAACGGACAAATTACTGTCAAAATATATCGACAATTATCTACTATTACAAATTCTACTAATTCCCAAACAAACTTCATCTAAGTTCATTCTTTCTACAGTATACCTATACACAAACATATCTACACACTATTGCCAACTAAAACACACAGGCATACTCGACTACCCCACAATTACGTCACGCACAAATTACTCCTCCCGCTCGTGCCGTACGCGGGCGCCGACGTCGCGCTCTGCCGTATCTCCGTAAATACCCGCGACCCCGTCGCCTAATACAAAATCAAACTCGACGCTCCTCCACCCGTCGGTACGGTGTGCTCGTCGCCACCTCCCATACTTAACGATTATCAAAAAACATACAATATACCTATACATAACATAATATTAATTGTACATATTCGTACCATTCCCAAGAACTCGAGAAATCTATAAGACGATTGGGAAAGTCCACTCGATCCGGACCGAATGTACGTCGTGCTCTCGAGATCGTACCATTTACGTCTGTGAACGTCTAGCGAACGTAACTTCCGCGACGACGGAGATCCGGTACGAGGATAAACGTGTTGGCGGTGAACCAAAAACTATACGGCGAGTTCTGCTATAACGCGTGTTTTGACGACGCGATTTATGAATTGAGGAACGATATTTGTAAAACGCGAACTCGTTTCCTCCGACGCGATTCCACTCGAACGATTGTTATGGCTTCGGTTCACGTTCGACATCGCGTGTTCAATTGAGTTATGTGTTTTGTTTGTGAACAATTGCAGAAATAATGTATGTAATATTTATGTATACAGTATACCTATATATTATAAGTCAATTGTAAAATTTTACATAAAAGAGACAATCAAATTACATAGCGTTTTACACCAGCGCTCTCTTTACATCACACAGTGTTTACGGTTCACGTTCGACTTCGCATATTCAATTGATTTTTGTGTTTTGTTTGTGAAGAATTGCAGAAATAATTTATGTAATATTTATGTATACAGTAAACCACTCACAAGGTCCTACAGTGACAACAAAGGGAAAGTGACCTCGACTGTGACCGTCTGTGCCTATTTTTAGCCGTCCTTGTGGTCGGTAATGCATATCGGTATATTTACTGATCATAATACTTATCTCCTATAAATAATTCATTTGAAATTTATTTTTGGGCAAAGAATATTCGGTAAATGACTGCGTTAATTCTTGAAACTACCCACATTGGTCAATTTAGGACATAAATGATGAACGGAAGTCACGTCACGGATTCGGAGTTTGGTCCTTAACGATCGCCATAAATGTACATTACCGGGTATAATGGTAGCCTCCCTTTTTCCAGAAAAAAGTATATAAATTAAAGAAAATACTTGCAGCATATTTAATATATTACAGTATATTATAAATAAATAAATCAACAAATAAATTCAAATTCCCTTATCATCCTGTGTTATAAACTCGAGTCCCCGAGCGAGTACACAAAAAGAAAACGCACGACCGACACATCCTCGAGTGGATAGAGAACGGACATCTCTACTGGGGGACTCGAACGTTTCTCGTGTTTTGTGGGCGCTGTAGCATAAGATGAATATGTAAATTGTAAAAATTTAAATAAAAGAGAAAAACAAAATAAGTAGCGTTTAAAGTGTACTTTACATTGTGGCTTGGCGCAGGGTTATGCAGTGTTTACAGTTCACGTTCGACATCGCAAGTTCAATTGATTTATGTGTTTTGTTTGTGAAGAATTGCACAAATAATTTATGTAATATTTATGTATACAGTATACCTCTACAGTATATGTAAAATAAGAGAAAAACAAAATACATAGCGTTTTAGACCCGCGCGCTCTGTTTACTCCACACTTTGTTTGAAACACGTGTGAAATTTTTAAGTGTCCTCGGTGATTACTGTTTCTCCAATTTTGTGACTATGGAAAAGAAGAATATCTCTGGGAAGCACTCTGGTGATCATAAAAGAAAGGCTATAACACTCGAAGAAAAGCTTGATGTTTCATGACTCCTCAACATCAATCTTCTCCCCCATCAAGTTATATTCAGATTTTTTCAAGGTCAAGTGTAACATTTACTGTATGATTTCAATATTAGATATCAATGTAACATTTATTTAGACTGTACTACGAAATTTTTGTCGATTTGGAGTAATCTGCACCTAACCCTATTTTCTCCATAAGCCCTGTCATTTCTATTACACGAATTTCTATAACACGATGTTTTACAAGAACACAACTATCGCATTATAGCAGAACTACCCGTACTCGAAAGGAAACGTCTCGTATGCATCCGCGTAAACTCGATACGCCTCGTCTCCTCGGGACGTGTACGGCGATGAGGATAATCTTACGTCTGCGTTCAAATGGTGCAATGTGTCTGAGGAGGATCCCTAATTACACTTTTAAGGGAAGTGCATATACCCACGCCACGAACTTTCGGCTTCTGTTCCGAGGGATCGTCCCGTGTACCCGCCTCCGGCGTGCCGCGTTCCTATTATGACCCGCAATGTGCATACAATAACGCCTACTTGCAATACAGTATAAAACATAGGACATAAATACATATACCTCATCCTCCATTACAAGCTACTACATTCTTAACCCTTACACCCAGGTGACGTCCATCTGGTCTCCCCTTTGTGGAGGAGGGGGTGGGGAGAATTCATCTTGTTTCTCGATTTATCCCAATAGGAAGGGAGGGGGAAGTGCCAGCAGCACCCTAACCCTTGGCTTAAACTCCCATTTTTTAATAATACTTTTCATATTGTATCCAACACTTTTAGACCAGATATGACACCTTCAATTCTATATCTCTATGCTAAATTAAGTACTCTCATTATAACACTTGTAATGTCCGTCCCTCTACGCATTTTCGATGGCACCCGAGTCTCGTCGTCGGTCGCATTTTCATTTCTCCCTCGTTATCTTTACGTTCTACTACTCTTTTACTCGTAAATTCCCGTCTTATTTCCTCTCGGTGACCGGTCAAAACTTCCTTCGATATTTCGTCGACGACGCGCCGCTTAATAAATTCTCGTCTCCCTTAAAAACCTTCCACTTACTCTACGCAATTCCTACGGAGACGCCGAGGCACGCCACATACGCATTCCTATTCTTCAGAGAACCATTAAGTAAATACCGTACACTGCGATATAAACATTACAATACGGCGTCGTCCGACATTCTCACCCGCGGTTCGAGCGGCGTCCTCGGCCGGGGTCCGTCGAGTCGCCGGTCCGCACAAAAATGACGTTTCTGACTCCCGTCGGGTGACTGCAAATGAAAAATTAAGGTTAAAAAATATACATAGTCAATTAGGCATGCAAATTATACATGAACCCTTGACACCTAACCCAAATATCTGAGTACATTCTCTAAAGACCTGGATACATTTGCCAAACATACACTTTCCATTGGAAAATCTTACATACTTAGGCAGCCACCAAACGGGGAGATACCACCTCCGCAGACAATATTGGAAGCGTAATGTGTCGTCCGTGGTAGATCTTCCTGCTACGTGGCATCCCTAAAATTGTGACCGAGTCCCGGGTCGCTCGTCTGACTCTCTGTCTCGATTGTTTCTCTTACAACACAACATAAATCTATTGTTCCTCACTTTTGATTTTTTTTTCCATTTTGTATTTCTTTAAGGTTCTTCAGTATTATTGTTACATATAAACTAGGTTACCCCATATTTATGGCAATATGTTTTATTTTACTTGTGCAATAATGCGCCACTTTGAATGCGCACGCGTGTTTTGGTTTCGTTTTTACGGACGGTCCCGAAAATATACCGGAGAGAGCGTCGTCGTTTGTGTCGTCGTCTGAGCCTCTCGCATCATATTTCGTTGATATCCACCAAAAATGAACACTGTAACTTCAACAATTATTATTATTATGATTACATTTTCGCCCCGATGTGGGTCGGTGACCCGTGCCCGGGTGGGCTAATTCCCATAAAAAAAATACGTATTATTTATTTACTTTGCACTCTTATACGTACGAGTGTCGACGAAATTAATCTGCCGTTATTTACGCGATCTCATTTCTTGCGCACTTTCGACGGTTCGACGCGTGCCCTCGTTCTACTCCGGATGCACGTCAAATACCCGACGACGACGACGACGACCCCTCCGGGAACGTCGTAGCGTCGACCTCCGGCGCGCCCCGCGACGAGAAGACCGCTCCGGAATTTCGACGAGACGTCACGTCGAACGGCGTTCCGGACTATACCCTCGACGATGACTGCGAGTGGCCTCGGACCAAACCCCACGCCTCCCGAGACACGGTCGAGTGAGGCTTCGGTCTCCGTGCTCGCCGATCGCCGCAATATAATACCAATTAAAACACTGCACTGTATGGCAAGTCTACCCTACAATGAATCCCCAAATCTGCTGTACCAAACATTCACTTGCCTAAAACGGTTAGCACAGACACATCCACCCAGGCAAAAGAGGGGACTTCAATCGACTACTCTTGTTACGGCGGAGGAGCCGCGCGCTCGGTCCGTGGGCGTCAAACCCGAGCGTTCCTTTAATCGCGGGCTGTGGTTCCGCCGGAAGATGCCGTTCCTTAGTTTCTGCAACGTGAAAGCCCGTCCTCCCAATTTCTCGCACGGCAACCGCCGGACGCGACCGCCTGCCGATGCCCTCTGGGTCCCACGCCACCCAAACAAACCCACCTAACTTTAGTAAATGGAAACGTACGTGCCCGAGAGTGGCGTACGAGTATTCTACGCGTGTCGCCGCATTATTCTCCCGCCGAATGCATTCGCCGCTGCGCATTTCGATGCGTTTTCCATTGAAGGACTAGGGTGTGGTTAGCAAATTATTTGTTCCTCTAATTGACATATATACAACTTATAAACCCTTCTTCACACTCACAATTTATAATTATAGTCACATATTTTATAGCAAACTCCAATAAACTTATCTAATATTTATCCCATTAATATCAACACTAATAACTGGTCACTTCGACTAAGTGTGTGTAGTGTAATTGTAATCACACAAAATGGTACATTATTAATAAGGTGACCATCATATACTATAAAACTTATTAAATAAAACACAAAAAAGGAACGACAGGTGCTAGGAGAGAAAGGTGGTATGTGGAGGGAAGGGATAGAGGGGTGGAAGGGAAGGATAATAGATAAGGAAAGGAAGAATGGTACGTGAAGAAAGGGAGGGGGGACAGATGGTGGGATAGAGGGGTGGAAGGGAAAGATAATAGATGAGGAAAGGAAGAGTGGTAAGTGGAGGGAGGGATACATTTAGCTGGAGGTAGAGGGAACAAGGGGTGCTATGTGGATGAAGGGGTGGTATAGTCGTCAAACTATCCGTTAATCTTTAACGTCGTGTACTCGGAGCTTCCGTCTTCTCGAGTGCCGGAGCGGGTCGCCGCAGTTGTTTTGGGGGTCGACCGCCGGGCAAGTTTTAGCATTCTTACTTAATGAAATACTGTACATTACAAATACACGTATAATATGACCTTAAGCTAAAATAACCGTTGACTGAGCTTTAGTTATCCTTAAAATAGCATCCATAAAAATAGAAAAACACGTAGGTTATTCTCGACGATCGTCTCGCGTCGGAGAGCGGCACTCGCCGACCCGTCTCCGGAGCGACGATCTACGGTCGTTCTTCGTGTCCTTCTCCCGGATCGCGCTTCCGCTGCCCGAGGCGACTTCTTCTGTGGGTTAAGTTTGTGATGTGAATGCTGCCTGCATTTAATAATTATACTGCACTACATCTATACAACCATTGCATAGGGTATTATAAATCAATCATAATGCCCTCGTAAAATATCGTGTTGATCATTTTTAATTTGTGTCGTGTACCGGTAAGCAGAGTGTCGAGTGGCCGGAGGTGTGTCCCGGGCCGACGGCGAGACGATACCCTACGTGATGGAACTAATCTACGATCGTAACTAGTCTATTGCTAGAAAATGCAATATACTGCACGCGAGACTACGTAAACGAGTACTTCTCGCAAACGACGACGGACCGTACGACTGCGCAATACGGGCCGAATCTCGAGCGGGCCCGCATCCGCGGACGGACCGCCCTCGGCGTGCCCGTCGACGGACACGCGCGCGACAAAAATCGCCCCGACTATTTACTAAACGAAGAAACGGCACGTCGACGACCCGACGGCATTGTCGAATATTACGTCGTCGACGCGTTTACGTAAAATTGTTACCGGTCCCGCGTACGCGTCGGTGACGCGAGGCGCATTCCTAGAGAGCTAATAGCTTTAAACCAAATTTGGACTCAATTAAAGTGGTTTCAATGGAACAATTTACTTTGGTACTCGAGACTAACACAAAATACTAAAAAGACCCAATATACCCAAATGCACCTCGGCCCATCTCCTACAAAACATCGTTTTTGTAGTATCGCGTTAAAACGGACGCTCGTAAATCGACGCGGCTAAAATTACGAGACGCGAAATGGCCCGTTTACTCGTGATCGGATTCGCGGCAAGATGGGGAGGAGGGTTATCGGTTTGACAGTTGATGCCAAGGTCTAGAGCTTATTTATTTATCTGTCCTTAACAGTGACTTTCAGGTTTTCTCTTATGAAATATCACTAAACTGACTTGGAAGAATATAATTAACATTGCTGGAATTCTTATAAAATTGTGATTACTTTGAATATAAACATGCTATAGTTCACATACAAATTTTAGTTGTAACTAATTTTATTACAAAGGGCTACAAATTTTTATCTCTTGTGCAAAATATACAACGTTTATGTTAAAATTATTAGCCGTCTTGTAACGATTTTAGCAATGCAAATTAAATTCTAACTTTTGTCTGTGATATTACTTAAGATAAAGCCCGGCGACACCGACGGTTGGCGCCCGGGTCTGTGGCGCATTTTTTCCCGGCCGGGAAATGACCCGGGTGAATATAATTAACATTCTTGGGATTCTTGTAACATACTGATTAATTTGTATATAAACATGCTATAATTTCCACTAGACATAACAATTTTAGTACCCAAATCAAATTAGTACAACAAAACTCCAGCTTTGCACTAAGGTCAATTATTTCTTTTAGTATGCTGTGTGCATGAAAATAAATGAAGAAATTGATGTAAATCTACCCAAAAATACAGTTCAAAAACTTTATATTATAAAATGTACTACAGTACTGTACACTAACGTACAACAATTTTTATCTCTCGAGCAAAATATATGACGTTAACATTCAAATTATTGGCTGTCTTGCAAGGATTCCAGCAATGCAAATTATAATCTCCTAACTTTAGTCTGAAATATTATGTAAGATAAAAACTGTAAGCCTAAAACCCTGGCTCAACAGATGGGGGAGAGAGTTAAGAGGAGATGTTTGACAGTTTGAGCCGAAGGTCTCTGTGAGTTTATTTAACAGTCCTACTAAGCTTCTCTCATTTTAAAATGCCAGTGAAATGACCTGGTACAATATAATTAACATTGCTGGGATTCTTGTAACATACTGATTAATTTGAATATAAACATGCTGTAATTTGCACCGGACATAACAATTTTTGTACCGTAATCAAATTAGTACAACAATGCTCCGGCTTTGCACCGAGGTCGTTTATTTCTTTTACGTTTCTTTTATTGTGGTGTCTGCATGTAAATGGATGAAAATAAATGAAGAAATTGATATAAATCTACCCAAAAATACAGTTGAAAAACTTTATATTATAAAATGTACTACAATTTTTATATCTTCAACAAAATACAGTATATATAATGTTTATATTCAAATTATTGGCTGTCTTGCAAGGATTCCAGCTATGCAAATTGTAATCCCCTAACTTTAGTCTGAGATATTATATAAAATAAACACCTTAAAGCATAAAGTTATCACCAATGTTTTGTCTGGGAACACAAGGAGGGAGGTAGCCAGCGAGCAGGGGGGGGGAAGTGAGGTGACAATGTCTTTATTTATTTGAGATAAGATTTGACAGTTGGCGCTGAAGGCCCGAGTGTTTATTTATCATTACTTAAGAGTGACTAAGCTCTTCTCATAATTTGCCACCCAAACGACCTGGGTGAATATAACTTGTAAGATAGTATTTGAATATCTGTGTAAACAATCTATATTTGCCATAGACATAACAATTTAAGTACCGTAATCGTTTAGTACACGTACAGTAAGGGTTTGCACTCGGGTCCATTGTTAACCGAGGGACCGCTGTAATTGCAGTATACTTATACTGTACAATATTGACTAAATTCACTAGATAACGTACATCACTAATGGTCGGTAAAACTTGTCAAGTCTCTCGGTATGAGTGGCACGTGTTAGTGCTCGAGTCTCCCGTCGTGGAAGTCCGTTTTCTCTCCCTTCGGGATGCCCGAGTCCATTTTCTCTTAATCTTAGAGTGCAGTGCACCAGAGACTTCGTTATTCCTCAGTAATGACACAGAATTTCAAATTGCAACTAGGGTTGCAATTGTTGAGGCAACTAGATATGTCCGATTACAGCAAATGTGTTATTGTCAATTTGTAGGTGAAAGATTTTATCCTCAATAGATGTAGGTTAACATTACACCTGGAGGAAAATGCTTACTAAAGCCTAAGGAATGATATTCCTTTAACACATAACATCTAGCCAGTACGGGAAGGATCGTCGTGTCTCCATCAGGGGGGTCTTGGAGTGGTGGTCCAGCAGGCATCACGGAAGTGTTTTTTCGAGGGGGGGCACGGACGTACGGTCGGCCTTTCACATACGCGGGTTTAGCATTCACGGATTCGCAAATACGCGGATTGCCCCGCCAGAGGAATATTCTGTACATTGAAGTAATTGAAGTACAGTCGGCCCTTAACATTCGCGGGGGTTAGGTAACAGAGATACCCGTGAATGTTAAAAATCCGTGTACTATTGCTACCCCCCCCCAAAAAACAATCCCTGGCCCCCCCATGTCCTTATTTACCGTATATACCTGTGTGTAGTTCGAGTTTTTAAGACAAAATTATTTGGCAAAAATTGGGGGTCGACCTCTTAACGGGTAATAGTTTCGTTAGGTTGAAAAATATTTACCAGTAACTACCAGAAAACAATGGAAACGATGCACCAACACACCACCAGCTGTGAGTGTCGGTACAGTTGCCAGGGCAGATCTCTTGCGAGCCCAAAGTAGCCAAATCCATGGTATGGTAGCACAGGACGATGTAAAACAAAGTATTCATTCATTAAAGTTAACTCGTAGATACTGGACATAAATTTTTGTTCATTACATTTCAAGCATCAATCTTTGTTAATTAAATTTGAAACAAGAAAAAACTACGATACTGGATTTTCATTAAAATATTACATCACAAGTATATTTTACCTTAACTGTGACTGAATGAATATATTCTCGGAAATAAATATGGAAATGTAATATTTTTGCTGGAATGACGTACATATTATAGTGGGAAGTGGGATAAAATCATGACGAAAGACTTTCGCTTTCTTTCGTTGTTCAAAATATTTTACCGTAATCGCTTTTCGAATGGTTTTCAGTTAAAAAACTGTTGCATCACAAGTGAATTAGGATAGAATATTATTGTAATACAACAGTTTTTTAACTGAAAACCATTCGAAAAGCGATTACGGTAAAATATTTTGAACAACGAAAGAAAGCGAAAGTCTTTCCTCGTGATTTTATCCCACTTCCCACTATAATATGTACGTCATTCCAGCAAAAATATTACATTTCCATTTCCGAATATATTCATTCAGTCACAGTTAAGGTAAAATATACTTGTGATGTAATATTTTAATGAAAATCCAGTATCGTAGTTTTCTCTTGTTTCAAATTTAATTAACAAAGATTGATGTTTCAAATGTAATGAACAAACATTTATGTCCAGTATCTATAAATTAACTTTAATAAATGAATACTTTGTTTTACATCGTCCTGTGCTACCATACCATGGATTTGGCTACTTTGGGCTCGCAGATCTGCCCTGGCAACTGTACCGACACTCACAGCGGTGGTGTGTTGGTGCATCGTTTCCATTGTTTACTGGTAAATATTTTTCAACCTAACGAAACTATTACCCGTTTAGAGGTCGACCCCCAATTTTTGCCAAATAATTTGGTCTTAAAAACTCAAACTACACACAGGTATATACGGAAAATAAGGACATGGGGGGCCAGGGATTTTTTTAGGGGGGGTGGGCAGCAATAGTACACGGATTTTTAACATTCACGGGTATCTCTGTTACCTAACCCCGGCGAATGTTAAGGGCCGACTGTATATGCTATCGGACGTTAACCGGCGCACGACTGTATGTGTTTTTGAAAGATGCAAATCCTCCGAGGATTCGCATAGCACGAAGCGCGAATTTGGATTGCGTGTCGTAAACGGACGCCGACGCCGTGCCGGTCGTTACCAGGATCTTACGTCAAATGAACCGAGGAATTATCGGAAAGACACAACGGGGAGAGAGGCGCTATTATTAGCCTTCGCGACGAGGGTACGCGCAACGCTCGAATAACTCGGCACAATGGGGCGAGCGAACCCTCGGGCATCGCGATGGGTTACCCGCCGCTAAACGACGGGCGACGCGCCGATTAAAATCTTATTTTGACGTTAAACCGACGCCATTTACGTATCGATAATATTTGGCAGATCCCATTTAGACCAATATATTGTATATTGCTGTACCTGTTCACTCTAATATCAACTACTATTTGCTCCGTCACTCCTCAAAAATCAGACGTGTCGTCGACGACTACATTGTGCATCTCGGTACGAATAAAACCGTCACTACGACGCGGTGGCGAAACGTATGCCCCGAGGTCCGTCTCGGTCTAGCTCGTGACGTTCCAAAACTCTTCCGTTTAATGTATATTCCGATATTTTTGTAATCCTCGGTTGGGGCCTCGCTTCTAACCGGCACGATACATACATTAATATAGCTCAATGAATTTCTTGTTATAGTAAAGCATATACCGTACGGTCGTATGTCACACGAGGACGACTCCCTCGCTACCCGCCGTCTACGGCTATTGCTCATATAGTGACCGGATGTACCTGTACCAACTTATGCTGATGCACTGGGGATCACAGCAAAGTATTTCATCTAGAGTTTCAAATTTTACCGCTAGAAAATTCAATCGATACTTTTTGGGGGACCGTACATAATTTGGGGGGAACTGTTTTCGTTGTAGAAAAGTATCTTGGCTTTTATAATGTGAGTCTATAGGAATAGTGATTCGATTTACCATAGGTTTTTATAAGACACAGTACTCTTTCAAACTGGGGAATGCCTGTAGAACTTTCCTAACATTCAAAGTACCACAACAATATTAAATACAATACCACAGACTACTTGAGGTCCAGTAAACTTTATGTCCAGCCAACTTCATTCTAGTTCACATCAGGTCCACTGTAGGCAGTGTTGGAGAAAGTGCCTGAAAATATTACTTAAGATAAAGTACTGCACTGTTGATATGTAAAAATTTAAACTATGTCCTGTAGTCTTCTTCAAAACTATGCAAATAAAAGTTTACTCAACTCAACTGATTCATATAAGTAGAAAAAAGTATTTAGAGTACCACAGCATTTATAGAGTATCATAATTAATAAACAATGACATTATGTTTTGAAAACGAAAGTTAAAGTTATTAATATACTGTACTGTACTTTAAAGAACCACGAAATAAACACACATTCAAAATTGGGTATGGGATGAAAAACGTGAATCTGGGCCATATTTTGGAAGTGTCGCGTACCGCCGACGCCAATGGGACGCGACCTTACGCACAAACATTTACATAAATGCCCACTTTTATAGGATTACTGTACAAGTGTACTGAAATACAAGTACAGGTTGTACCTCTCCGGTCCGGCAACCACGGGACCCGACCGGTGCCGGACGCCGGAAATTTCCCGACCGTGGAAATTCGCCCTCTTCCTGGACAGATAGTGACTTCTGTTTACACTTGGAAGCACTAGCACCACTTTCTCTGCTTCGTGGTCTCTTTGAAGACATATTGAAGGGTTAAATGTCGTACAGTACCTTCTCAAATTTCGCGAGTTTTTAATTCGACGTTTTCTATTTGAACGCACAAAAAAAGCCGACACATTTAAAACTTTTGACGGCGGAAACTCAAATTTCGACGGGTTTGAATGGCCCGCCGACGTTCGGACGACGTGCACGATCGTGTAAAAGGCGTTATTTCTCTTATGTACGAAAGATTCGTTATTATTTATTACTGAAAGTCTTTTGGATTGAATTAATGTTAGTGTGTGCAAAATGAGCAATACAATTCATTAATAATACGCTCAATATTAAAACGCGAGGAAATGAGACGGCACCCTTTTCGTCGATTACAAAAACGGTGACCGACTGGTTCTACGTATAAAACTGAAGAAAATAAGACCCTGGTTGTAGCTGTAGAAAAATTAATATGGTTCTTTTAAGTAATGTTAATACATGGAACAATAGAAGTAGCTAACGATAATGGTAAAGAAAAACAGAGATCGCGTATGCGAGTGCGCACGCGTGAAAACGTATCGTCATTACTTTACGTAAGAATGTGAAAGCAACACTTATTTACTGTTCATATATATTTTAATTAATGTTTCTGAATTTGTTTTTATTGAATTAATGTTTGTGTGCAAAATTAACAATACAATTTATTACTAATACGTGTAATATTAAAACGCGCGACGAGACGAGACGGCTGCCGGCATTGTTTTTGTTAAAGCTTACAAAACCGGTGACAGATTGGTTCTACATATAAAACTGAAGAAAATAAGACCCTGATTGTAGCTGTAGTAAAATTAATGTAAAAAAATTAATATGCTTGTTTGAAGTAATGTTATTTAATGTTAATAAATGGAACAATATAAGTAGCTAACCATCAATGGTAAAAAAAAAAAGTGAAACTGAGCGTATGTAAGTGCGCACACGTGAAAACATGTCGTCGTTACTCTACTTAAGAATATGAAAGCAACACTTATTTACTGCTAGAATATATATTGAAGGGTTAAATGTTATGCTCTGTATAGACAAGCACAGAGAGAGAGCTGCCGGATGTAAACAAACCTTAATTTCCCCCGGCTTTTTCGTTGTTGTTTTTTTACGGGGATTAGCCCACCCGGGCATAGGTCACTGACCCACATTGGGGCCTGAGGGGCAAAAATTTAATACTCCTGTAATAATAATAATAATAATAATAATAATCAAGATTAAAAAAAAAAAAAAGCTGCCTATCTACCTATTGGACAAACTAAAATCGTTCCGGATCACAGAATGCCGGACTAGAGAGGTACAACCTGTACTCTAATACACTCGGCTCGTACGCCCAATGACACGACGTGAAGTGACGACGTCGGTATTACCTCCCAGCGGCGTTTCTCCGTTTGCCGTTAACGGCGTCGTGTGCGAGACCGGACGGGTCTGTACGGTCGAGTCTCGACTTGTCGTACCGAGATGTGTTGTTGGTCCTTGAAGCTTCCTGGAAATGTGACCAATAGCTATATAATACACAACACTGTAAAACTATTATATTATAGGCAGGATTATTTGACCGGTACTCGGCACAATAACCGCCGCTTATTTGACAGAGATCTAAAATAAAACTAAATCCTTTTGTCAACAGAAATTATACAATTAAATAATACCATAATGTAATGACTTGTTTAATGCCCCCAACCATCCCGACTACAATCCTATACGATCCCCGCAGGTCCCGGTCAAATGGCCGACGGTTATTTGGCCCAGAATCGTGGTCAAATAACATCTTCGTACACTTATAATAAAGGCACTTGTTTGTTTAGTACCACGTGGAGAAACTGATTACTCAAATAGGTTAGGTTAGGTTGAAATAATCTTGTTCCAATGGTTTTTGATGTATTTTCAACTTTTATGACCTTCGGAAAATAGCTGCACGGCCAAAACGATAGTTTTACAAGTTTTTATTTGGATTTTTTCTAATAAATAAATATGATCTTAATTTCCTTACACTAACAAAAACAATGAATCTTCCAAAGTGAGTTAGACTTTCAACATGAAGGGTTAAAAAAACAACATTGAAAACCCTACCTAACCTAATCTAAACTACCTAACTTCTTGCGATGGACCAACAAAAACCGAATCGGCATACCCGGTTTCGTACGCGTCCAATAGTGTTTACATTTCGTGGACGCGACCGACGTAGAACGAAACTGCGACGATCTCGACGGATTCTTATCGTGCTGCCGGGAGAGAGGCACAATTTTGCGGGATTTATTATTTAAATCTCTCTGCTGTGACCAATCAGAGGACAGTGCAAATTTATTATGATATTTACACAGGAGCAAAAACTTTTTTTCTAGATATATTTAAGCCTCCTTCGTGACCTAAACGTTGAAGACGAGAACCGACTCACAGACAAAACATTAAAACACAAAAACAAAACATTAAAGAAATAACTTTTTCTGTTATCATTAGTTAAATACAGCTACTCCTCGACTTACGACCTACTCGACATACGACGGAGCGGCCATTTTTTGGGTCCGGTAAACACAGCTGTGAGCGCTAGCTCCCAAATTTGGGATGTTTTCGAGCTTATTACATTAACTGAAGGATATATAGACTTACCTACTTGTGTATAAGGACCCGAGGATAAGATAAGTATCGTCAAGCAACTTTAGTGTTGGGAACTTACTGTTTACCTTACAAAAATAACTGCTCGGGGTCCCATCACTCCTGGCTGGGTGTTGTGGGATGTCAACATTGCCCCACGGAAAGTGAATTTTCGCTTAAGAACTCTACATGGAAGAGTAAAGAAAAGATAGTATTGGACGAAGTTCTTGAAGACCTTGAGTTGAGTAGTGATGAGTCTAATACGAGTGATGAAGCACAAGGGAAGTTCGAAAGTGAGAAAATACAGCTACAACAAGAGGTAGTGAATAAGAAAGAAAATTCTAAAACAATGAGGGAGACAAGCTGGCATGAGGACAGTGAAAGCAAAGAAGTGAGAGAGGAGAAGAGACAAAATCATCTAGGACAAAAAACGTGTGTGGGTGGTAATAATAATGGAAATAACAGAAAGGAGATAGTGGAGAATGGATCAAGAACAGAGCAAAGTATGGAATTTGAAGGAAGCAGACAAGAACACACACAAGGTGAAGTTGGTCGTGTCAGGAAGAGATAAATTTTTCCAGTCATGCCCGATGACCTTCCTTGAAAAATTAAAATGGGCAGTACAACTAGGACGGGAGCATCGCAGCTTTGAGCCTCTTTTGAAAGAAGGCACACACAAGCCTTATCTTACAGGCTGTGGAAATGTTGACAACTGTTGGGTACAAGGGATTACTGATGGTTTTGCCAGAGGAGAGCGACATACTACTTACAAAGGTTATAATCTTCAGGTACCCTGTAATACTAGACCCAGAATACTTATTGGATGACGAAAGATTTGTTTGGGTCAAGAGGCATTTAATAAGGGGCGAAGAGAGAAGCCAGGTTATTGCTCTAATGAGAGGAAAGGTTCCAGAGAAAGTGTTCATCACAGGAGCAGGGTATAGGAAGGTGGCACTATATGTGGGGGGACCAATAATGTGTCTCAAGTGTTGCAGATGGGGACATAAGGCCTGGAGCTGTCAACTGGACCCACGTTGTAGATTCTGTGGGAAGAGGCACGAATCTAGCAACTGTAAGGACAAGATCAAAGCAGGAGAGAAAGTGAAGCCTTGTTGTTGTAAGTGTGGTAAAACTCTCAATGCTAGTTCAATTGCATGCGAGATGAGGCCACATATGAGAAGTGACCAACAAAGGAATTATTCAGAGAACACCGAGGAAGTACGCTGTGGTCTGACAGTGACAAGACAGCAGGAGAACACACAGACAGTGATTCCTGAGAATGCCTGGCATGAAGATTCAAGAAGGATAAGGACTGCGCTTGCGGCCGGAAGCGTTGTTGATGCCAGAAACAAACAGAGTAATAAACAAGTAGCAAGTGAGAGTAGTGGTGCAGCCCTCCAGGTTAGTGATAAAACTGTGCAAGAAATTCTGGGAGAAGAGGTGCTTAAGATGTTTCAGCTTTTGCAAAAGTTAGGTCAGAAAATAGAAGTGATAGAGAAAAGACTTGATACAGTGATAAATAAAAAAAGGGAAAACAAAGCTGTGAATAATGTAGAATTAAAAGGGAAAGAGGAAAGTGAAGAGCTCAAGCCTTTGAAAAATTCAGTGCTTAAAATAAGTATTACAGGGAAGGAGAGGAAAATAAAGGATTGTGTAGCGCAGGGAGCAACAACTGAAAGTTTTAAAAAGGTGTTGGTAAAGTGTAAAGATGCTGATAAAGAAAAACTTTTGAGGAAATGGGAATCTGTGCAGGAGGATTGGGCCTTCTTAAAGAATCTGATTGGAAAGGATATAAAATGTGTAAATATTAATCCTGGATCTAGCTAGCCTTAAGACGTCTTTAAGGTGGCGAGATGAGAATCCCAGGGCGAGATTCCTTGGCAGACGCCACGGCCCACCGCCACAGTCAACTTTTCCTGGGCCAGGCGCTCCGAGCTAGCGAGCGAGCCTGTAAACAACTCTGGCCTACTGACTCCGTCATATGATCATGGTCTACCCACTGTTCTTGGTTATATGTATGGAGCCGTATTAATATCCATGCTTAGGGATGACTAGCAGAAATATAGTCATCCCAGGTTAAGTATTGAACCACTGAATGAGAGTTCAAGGTACCAGGTTGTTCCTTGCAAACTAACAGGAGGTATTGTATGTTACTATAATTGTGGAGTTAGTCCAATGTGTTATGTATTCATCTGTAGTACCCATGAAAGAATAACCTGAGAGTATGAGGTTCTAACCACGAATTGAGAAGGTAATTTGTTCCTTGTTAAAGTAAGACCTGTGGGTCCAGGGTTATTGACAGTGTGTAAGCATTGCTAAATCTTACTTGTCACAGAAATACTACAACAGTATCCAATAAAGTAATGAATATTTGGAGGTGTTTAATGAGGTAATAAGTTCTTGAAGTGTTTGATGACTTAATAAGTTAATTTCGGTTCTGTTTAGCCTGAGTGAATCTAAGATGCATCTTCTCCACTCACTGTATTAATAAATATTGAGTTAGTAATCTGAGTATCACCACTCTACTCCTTCTAAACATTGGTTCCCAGAAAATAATACTTACTCACGTGCCTATACATCTACCACACTACCCAAAACCCTTCCATGAGTTCTGTTATATAATGAAAAGTCTGGGTGGTGGCAGCTACCCCTTGTAAGTATAAAAAGTGTTATACAAAGAATCACATGGTTCCCCAGACTAACCCATGTATAAGAAAGACATAAAACAAAGTATACTTCAGAAAGGTAAGAACATTGAAACTGAAAATACAATCTATATGAAAGGAAATGAAAAGAAAGAACCTTGACTTGGAAAACATAAGTGGAGAAGCATAAGAGTTACTTACATAAGAACATATAAGAATATAAGGTATATAGAGGTAAAGAACATATAAGAATAAATATATATGTAAAGAATGGAAGGAGAATAAGTATATTAAACAGGGTACTCATTGGAGGAATGCTACATAGAACAAATAAGTATATGAGTAAATAGAATACTAACAGAAAACAGTAGCTGGATGGTAAATTATTGAAAAGAGAAAACGCGGCCCGTTACAGGGACAGGAAAGGCGACCTGCTTAAACTGTCTGGATATAAGGGATTTCATCTCTATTCGGGTGAAGGTATAAGAGGGGTCTCAACATACATTAAGAATTCCATACCAGCAGAACTAGTTGGAAACCCGAGTAGAGTACAAGGAATAGAAAGTGTCTGTATAAAGTTATATTTGAAGGAAGGAGAACTGAACATAGCAAATTTGTATATTTCTGGATGCTGTTTTGACCTCAACTTCTTACCAGATTGCATGTTTTTGGACTCAACTTTGGCTGTAAGAGATTTTAATGCTCGACATCCAAGACTCGAAACAATGGGGAGAATTAATAGAAATGGTATAAAATTTTGGCAATTTTTACAAGATCACCCAGATTCTTACTTGTTAGGAAATAAGGAAGTGACTCATATTAAAGGAGGAAGGTTAGACTATGCTTGCATGATAAGCAGTCAGGGAGTCCAGGGAGAATGTGAGATAATAAGGGAGCTAGTCAGTGACCATTTTGTTGTGTATGTTCAATTACCATTAGGGAAGAGACAGGTGAGATATAGGAGGAAGAAATTGAAACTAAACAAGGATGACACAGAAGTGTTTACCCAAAATATAGAGAAATGGTACAGAAATTATACACCAGTCTGTATGGATAGCTTTTATAATGACTTAGTTGGGGAGATAGAAATATATTTGACTAAGTCAACACAGAAAAAAATAAATGATAAGAGACATGGGGCTAGGAAACACTGCTATACCAATGACAAAATGTTGAAGGGATGGACACAAATGTTAAGGGCAGCACATAAAGATTGGGTAAAGAATGGTAGAAGAGAAGAAGATAGGGAAATCTTCATGGATATAGCCAAAATATGTGGGCAGGCTAGGAAGGAGGCAAGGGAGAAATATTGGCAAGATTTTGCACAGCACATTGGGGAGAGTAAAAATCTCAAAGAAATATGGCAGGATATTCACAAAATTAGAGGAAAAAGGAGTAATTTTATTAGCCATCCTCATCCAGAGGAAGAAGCTAATAAACTGGTTGACAAATGGGCTAAAGCTGCTAGTGTTGCCTCCCTGCCTAACAGGACAATAGAAGCATTAGATGAGTGGCAAAATGAAAGAAAAAGATTTATTTCATCAGCTCTAAATATTTGTGATGTAACATGTGTAGATATTACTCAAGATGCTGTTAAAAAAGGAAAATCTACAGCACCAGGCGAAGATGGTGTGACATATGAAATTTTGAACTGCTTAGTTGGTATGGAAAATAGTCCATTATTAGATTTATTCAACATGAGCTATGCAGAGGGTAGATTACCAACAGAATGGAAGAAAGCGATAGTTATTCCTTTCCCTAAGGCAACTGGTGGATACAGGCCAGTGTCTTTAACATCTTGTTTTTCCAAGATGATGGAGAGAGTATTATTAAATAGGCTTGTATATATTGTGGGGAAAATCTATCTTGTAATTTATTTGTTTTTTTGGAAGGGAAATGTACTTCAGACTGTGTTATAAAATGTTTATCAAATGATGCAGACAGATGTAGAGTTTTTGTGGATTTACAAGGAGCATTTGATAAAGCTCACAGTGAAGTAGTTATGAGTGAACTGGCTGCTCTAGGGGTATCAGGAAAGTTGTTACACTGGATAGGTGACTACTTGCATGGAAGGAGAATCTGTGTATGGTATCAGGGATGTTTGTCTGAGGAAAGAG